CAAAATCAGAATTCCAATTTTGACCGGGCAAATTTAGAATTTGACCAAATTCCAATTTTGACCGTAACATATATATATATATGATGACGTTCTTTTTAATTTAGATGATTGTGAATATTCCCATAAACAGTAAGTATTTATTATATGAATTATAATTATTATATTATTGTTTTATTTACGAAGATCTTAGTCCCAAAATGAAAAGTACATATTTACAGAAAATATTATTATTGTATTATTTTTTCTACTTTTATTTAGAATAATTTTCAAAATTTCAAAAGAAAGTATTTATTTATTAAGGGCTATTTTATTTTTATTTAGATTTTTTTAGCGCATTATTTAGTCGAAAAAATGTAGCAACGAACAGAATTGTTTATTATTAAATATGCAATTTATTGTCTTATGAATCTAAGGATGATTTTATAGTATCGCATACAAAAAATTAATTTTATTAAGCTTTATCATTAGAAAATTATTTTTTCTGTTTTAATTCCAGCATTACATTTGATCGTGAGTGAAATGTATCTGTTTTCGAGAAGAGACAATTTAATAAGAGCTATATTTCACTCACGACTAAAACATAATACTGAAATTAAAACAGAAAAGATAATTGTTTAACGGTAAAGTTTAATAAAATTAATTTTTTGTATGCCATACTATAAATTCATTCTCAGATTCGTAGGAAAGCAGGTTAATAGATTCGCACCTCGATTCTACCGGTAAAAGATAAAATTACCGTCGGTTTTTTTTTGGAAACTACCAGCGACAGAACGCACATTATACCAATCGGTCAACCGGCGGTATACCGCCGGTTTTTTCGGTTCTAATCACATAGGTTCTATGGGCACTCCTCGAAGACTTGGTTTCAATATCTATAAATTGTTGTCTCCTTTACAGTGTACATATAGACAGTGACTAGGAAGGAAGTGGAGACGTTTCTTTCTCTTTGTTTTAGGTAATCAACAATCAGAAGAATTAAAACAATGATTGTTATTCCGAAACAATGTACATTAAAAGAACTAGCTTAAGAGTACGATAACCTATATGGAACAGATGAAGAGAAAGGATAAGAAGAAACACAACATGATTTTCTCTGTATCCATTTCAATTTTTATACTGATCCTTTAATATAATCAATTGTAAATAAATTGTATTTATTGAATTTTAAATATTTTTCCAAACCAAATTAATTAATAATCGATTATTTAAGTAATTTACTGCTCAATCATTTAGATTGCTGATTTTACAATTATTCCGTTTATTGACTATATGATTTATTTTACTGACCACAAATCATATGTCCACTATGAATATGTTATCTGATTATTTTTTAGTTATTAACTTAGACAATAATTTGGGTTTGAAACAAATTTCAGAAATTCAAACTATTTGCGATTTATTCAATGTACAATCGGTTGAAAAAAATTATATTTCGTGTATATTGCACATGTTTATATTTATATTTAAAAGTTCCTCTTACAACAGCTACAACTGGAAGATCTATCAGTATTATGAATAGAATAAAAACATTTTTTAGATCAACAATGGCACAACAACGTTTTAATCATGTTGTTATTTCTCATATTCACAAAGAAAAATTTGATCAATTGAGTTCGAACAGCATTTGCTTTGATTTTATTGCAAAAAATCAGAATTGAAAAGCTTGTTTTGCTCGTGAATAGTAGATTTTTTTCACTTATGATCCTTTTTATTTGCTTTAGTCAATGTTTAAGCTTTTTATGCTTCTGTTAATCACTTATTAAAAATTTTCATAGTGTAGTAGAATTTTTCATCAGTTTATAGAATTGGAAATGGTGAATGCATTGATATCTCTTTAATGAAAGTTGTGATCACGAAAGTAAAACAGTTGCTTTCCACGCTTAATGTTGTCGTTTCATTTCATATTTGTTTGAAAATAATTTTGAGCTTTCCCTAAATTACAATCGTTCCAACATCTATACTAGAATTTTCGTAATGATCAGGAAACTATTGCTAGCGAAGCCATAATGTTTTGTGTATTACGTGCAATGGTTAAAAAAGAGCCAAATGTAACCATTGTATTGTCTACATGTTTACGAATATTCCAGGTGCAAAAAAATGGCACCGTAAACGATCTTAAACGGCGTAACAACGATGTAAAACGTCGAAAAACGGCACCGTAATCTGTCATACCAGATTACGGAAGCAAAACCGAGGAAAAACGATGGCCGTTTTCTAGCGATAAAAACGGCTCGTAAAACGGTATGACGGATTACGGCGAAATAAGGCCAAAATTAAGGCAGTATTTCGCCGTTTCATGTCAGATACGACGCCGTTTTCGACGGTCGGAATGATCGACGTGGGTATTTCTCTTTTTTTATTATTAACCGACGTACATTTTCTTGCTTACTACAGTAGATGTATTGAGAGAAGAAAAATATTACTTATACAAAAAAGAAAAAAAAAGGGAGACAGAGAGGGAGAGAGAGAGGGGAGAGAGAAAGAGAGAGAGAGAGACAGACAGACAGACAGAATAAACAGCACATAATTTAGGTTAGAATAAGAGGTAGTGGGTAACTTTTCCGAGTATTCGATTTCCCTTTTATCATTTTCTAATAAGCTGATTTGACAATACATGACAAAACACGCAAAACTATGATCATATTCTTATGAAAACAAAAAAACAAGTATCAAATGACAATATTTTCATATTATTGAGTGTATATGGATGAATGCACAAAAAACAAACCATGTTTCGTGATTTATATATATAATCAACAGAATGCTTTTTATTTTGTGTATCAAACAACATTGGTATATTACACGATTATTCTGGTTGTGTATACAGAAGATTTTGCACGAATACAACGGACAATTGTATGTATTTCGAAAGTGTTCTTCCTTCAGAAGGTTTTTTAAGGCATTAGTATCGAGCGGCTTTTTATATCGTCAAGTATTACCAATGACTTCGTGTAGTATTAGTTCAGATTCTACTAAAGTATTTGGACAAGTACGAACATCACGTAATGCCCAAAACATCTGTATTTTCTCTGCAAGTTAGTTATCTGTAATAGTTTCCAAGTACTTGAAGAATAGCACTTTTGGACATTCAAGCAGGAGTTTGTTTGTTACTTGAGTGCTTGTCCAAAACGACGCGTATTGTGGACAGTATATGTGAAAGCACTTGATCATGTACTCGACACAAATCCATCATCTAGTGTTCCAACAATCAATTAAATCCGTTTGTATTCAAAATCATGTTTTAGATTCTACTTGTTTCATTTAGATAAGAGAAAAAAAAATGATTCAACTACTATTTATGATCTTGTTTCTGCCAATCGTAAGCAGCAGTGTCATGTATCGCCATGATTGTAGTGTCTGTGCTGGTGGAACGTATCAAATGCGAATAAACTATATCACTTTCTACGCCTGGGAATTATTTACCATGCACAAAGATGGCACAGTTGAGGTAATTAACAATAGACAAAATAGTTTTAATCAAGGACGTGGAATCAACGCTCAACCGTTTACTTCCAAGCTTGGAGAATGGAGATGTGTTGGAAAAAATCAAGTTGTGATTAGCACTGCTGATTATACTCTTCAGGTACCTGGTAGTCCTGTTATAAGTAAATTAGCTTTTCTTCAAGCCTCGTTGACTTTCACGAACAATGGTAAAGATCTGACAGGAACATTCGGATACTCACTCTATAAGCTCGGTGTTTATCCAACTGATCCCGGTGCGCAACCATTGCCTGCTTCTACCGTCGGACCATACGCAGTTACAGGTCGACGATTCTATTTCTTTAAACGTTAATTTGACGAAAGGAGATCGTCGACAGTTGGAAAGAAACTTTAAAACATTTCTACTTCTATTCTTTCTTTTTCTGCTCATGTTTTGCTCATTTTATCTTTAGAAATAAACACATAAATCCATGCAATTGTTCTCACTCAAGACCGATGAATTATAGGATGAATTTTGTACCACTATATCATGCGATAGGACAGGAAAATGAGAAAAAAGTTTTCGAAAAAAAATATCAATGAGATGGGGAACACGATGGGTCGTATTGCTAGTCTGAAGATCTGAAGCAACCAATACTTTAAGAGAGCTACCATGAGGGGACCAAGGAACTGAAGCACTGGTCAAAATGTAAAGTTTTGAGTTTTTTTTTGTGCGTAGTAAACAGATCTTCATCTCAAACCACAAAAACTAAATTTTGTAAACATTTTAATTCTCTTTCTTTGATTATTTAATTAAATATTTTAATAAATTTTAATTCTTTTTTAAGTATAAAATCATGTGAGGCTTCATTGTTGTGAGAAACTTCTTGAGACAAATAATAATAGATTTACAATACATAAAATAAACTGTACATTTTAACGGACTGCGCATTGTACAATAGAATAAATCGAAAAAAAACATAGTTTTCTTTTTTCTTAAATTTAATAGTGATACGAAACATGAGGGTAAAAGTACTAAACGGTTTGATGAATTAGTTGCGTATCAATAGTATCGTCTTGTCTCACTAAAATCGCCGTTGATTTTTAAATGCTGATGTTGTTGAATTCTGGTTTTAATTTGTTATTTTGTTTTATATGATATTTTACATGCCAAATAAATATTGATTTTGATTCATTAATAAATTCTCATGAAGAAATGAACGATTAATTACGCAATAAAAAATCTAATAAAAATCCACGAAAAAGTATAATAGCAAATGAAATTATTCCAAAAATAAATCTTGTATAAGTTAAAGAATATTTTACTAAACGTAAAAACCAAGGCATCATAGTTCATCGTTTGAAATTTGCTTTTGTTTGTTTTTTAGTTTTATCATTTACAAAATATATCAATGAATTTGCAATAAAAATCAATCGAAAACTGATTTTTAAAGTAACAAAAACTAAAAAAAACAATTTCGTCAACAAAATTCAATTCACAATGTGAAAAGAATTTCTATTCATAATATGTTACGTTCTTTAATGATTTCTACAAACAGAACAAATATTTTCTATTGATCATGATCCATCTATAATCTTAAATCATATTTTCATTGATACAACATTAGTTACTGATGAAAATGATCACAATCAAATTCGGCGTATTCTAAAAAGAATTCATTCCCAAATGTACAACTTCAGCTACTATACACACTTAATAATGTAAAATAAAATTTGCATTTAATTGTGAAATTTATTTTTTGTCTTTGCTCAGACTGTCATGACATAACAACGGCAAAGAAAGTCATCAAAAAATGATGATCTGCACATGAAAATTCTTAATTCAATAATATCGTCAAAATTTTAAAATGATGAAACTTATGCGTCAGTCTTAATATTTATTGGTCTTGGAACACACCAAACAACTGGTATAGGAATGAATGCTTATAGTCATTCAATTCCAACAATTCAACGTGGAAATCTTAATTTAGAAGATCCATATATATCAAAATGAAATACAGAATTGTTTTTATCTGTTGGACACATAGCAAGATTTATTCATGATCAATTAATATCTGCTAATAAAAAATTCATTTCTATACTTGCTTCTTATTCATTTCAACCAACTATACCAAATAATGAAATTGTAAAAAAAATGGTGTTTTGTTTTTATTAAAATGAAAAAATAAACTTCTTTCTCAATCCTAAAATATGCAGTGAAAAACTTGCATTATTTCATATCCATTTTGACATTTTGAAACATAAGAAGACTAAATATCGAACCGATTGAGAAATATCTTCGGTTACGATCGAAATTCTACTCAAGATAATTTTCAATTGTCTCGAAAAGAATGCTAAAACTTTTTTTTTTATTTTAAAGGTGCGCTTCTGGTTGTTGGATTTTTTTCTAGTAATAAAGATTTACTTGTTCCTATTAAACAATGTCCAACAGATATATTAATCTCTCACTTATTCGATCAACACAAGCTTATATAGCAAATTCTAATCACATACATTCCTTTCTTTTATTACCACTTGTACTATATGGATTAAATAAAAAAACATTTACTTCAAGCTTTAAAAGACTATGACTTAATTGTTGTAGTTGATAATGAATTAATTGGACCAACAATAATAACAACAATACTCTTACTAAATCAATTTCTTGTATTTCTTCATTGGTTGTCAAGTCAAAAATCTGATGATAAACAATATATTAAACGTTTATGACCAATAGTACGTTTTCGAGAAACAAAGCATTCATCAATAATAACATTAGAAAATTTTAAAAATATGATAATTTTAATATTTAAACAGTTCTTCCATTACTATCATATATTTTACCCATGAATGTAGCTGCTTATCTATCACGAAAAGAACTACAAAAACAATTACCATTAAAACCATCAATATTAAAAGATTTTCTTCATTTAGACGTAAGGTGCAGACAATTCGAACTTTCAGTAAAAATTTTTTTTCGCGTTTTTTCCACATCATCGGATAGGACTTGAGCTGCTGATTACGAAAAACTACTTTTTAGCCTTAGCAAATGCTTTCTTCCGATCGAAAAATACGAAATACTCGAAAAATGTTGTCTTTCGAGAAAAACACATTCTTTCTCAAAATGTGCAAAATTTTCCACTTTGTTTCTTTTTTTGGCTTCTGAAAATAATTTTTCTAGATTCACCATCAAAAACTGAGTATAAAAATGTTGTTAAAACGACTGCAGACCCAAAACTCTACTGGTGGTGGCGCTTCGAATCGCGTTGAGTCCACGTGGTATAGGTCTATTTTGTAAACCTATCTAGTTTCTCCACGTAAGTGATGAAGCCAAATATTTTATCTCATTCGACTCGTCATACCCCCAGCCAAAAACTAATGCATCGCTTTTTTTTCTTTTCTTTCCTGTGTTGAGAAAAATCGTTTTTATTCGATCATACGATAACGAGAAGGTCATTTTTAAACAAAATACATATTTTTTATTCAAACCTAGTCAAAATCAGTTCAAATAGGTAAAACTGATGGCAAATCGAATGAAGATACTTTTAGATCTCTAGAGGATCTTCAAGGGGTCTCCGGAAATCACTCCCTGGAAATAACTTAGCTTTGTGATATTAATCGATATTTTATGATCTTTAATGAATAGAGTAATCACTCTTCATGCTTGGTTATATAATATGAAGAGAGACATGCAGATTAAAAGTATTCAAATGGATAAAATATGTTCATTAATCTTCGTTTATATTTTTATTTTATATTCTACGATGTAATTGAACTGTTGTTTTGCAAAGTTGACTGAAGAACAGTTTTAATACATCAGCATATGTTTGACCTTGAGAATATGCTTCCCAAGTCGATCGTTCCGGTCACCGGATACTGCAGGAACCGGCAGGAAAGACGTGGAAAGATCGCCGGTTCCTGCAGGAAAACACCGGAAATCAACGGAACATGGAAGCAGTATTCCGGCCGGAAATTTTTCGGACTTTTTCCGGCGGGTTCCTGCCGGAAAGAACAGGAATTGGCTGGAATCCACCGGAAAAAAATCCGAAAAATTTCCGACCGGAATACTGCTTCCATGTTCCGTTGCTTTCTGGTGTTTTCCTGCCGGAACCGGCCGGTACTTTTCGACCTGGGTTCGATTGAGCGCCAAAAACGCCGAAATAACTTTAATGCAATATTTCGTTCGACAAAATGTATACAAGAATCCGCTATTAATTTAATCTTTTTTTCAAAGCTTTGATCTGTACGTGAACGAACAAATGCTTTTTGATTGCACCAAAGACCTTCAATGGCGTTTAGTTCACAATGATATTTAGGACAGTATATAATCTTAACATTATACTTGCTCGCTAGCATCTCAAGTTTTGTAACCCATACAATAGAGTAATTTATATAGGATGAAATATATTTCAAAATATGGACGTTGTGAATTCGCTTTGAATTTAGCTCCCCATCTACGGAGATCCAGGCGACAACTTCTTTCCGATCGTATCAAATCATCCCCAATTTGTTTTTGAATTTCCGTTAATTCATGATATTTTGTATCAATGAACTGAGCCAGGTCTGCTGCTTTAAACTCCGCTGATTTTTGCAAACATGCATGGACAACGAATGCACTAGCATCTGCTTCAATTTCGGGAAATGTGTCATAAAAGGAATCCGTTTATTTGCCACCACGTAAATCACTTGAAAACTCTCAGCAGTGGACAATAGTACGAAATCGTTGGGGAAATTGTTCCCGTTTATGGAGAAATGCTTCACCCCACATAAAATCATGCATAACAAGGAGAAATGGAAAGAAAGAAACAATAATAATATATATAATCTATTATATGATATTGTCCATATACTTGAACTTAGAGGTAAATGGTTTTTCTTTCAGAGGGAAATGGTTCAACAAGGAGAAATGGAAAGAAAGAAAAAAAATATATATATAGATATAATCTATTATATGGAAAAATAAAGAAAACCTAACTCTATCTCTATTAGATGAAAAAAAATGATTATTTCATTAGAACGACATAAAATTAAAGGAAAACTACCTCTATCTCCACTAGATGCGAAAAATGATTGTTTTCATTAAGATGGAATCAAAAAATAAAGAAAAACTATCTCTATCTCTACTAAGGAAACAAACGATTATTTTCATTAGAATGAAATAAAATTAAAGGAAACCTATCTCTATCTCTACTAGATGAGGAAAATGATCGTGTTTATTAAGATGGAATGAAAACTAAAGAAAAACTATCTATATCTCCATCAGATGAAAAAAAAAAAGATTTTTCTGATTAAAATGCACTAGAACTAGCGGAATCTTAACTCAATCTTCACCATACAAAAAAATGATTACTTTTATTAAAATGGAAAATAACG